CAGCTTTGATTCCTTTATCACTTTTTTTTTCTTTCAAAAGTCTTATTGATTCCTTATCAATGGCAAGGTTCCAGCCCCATGATTTCTGAATAACACCAAATTCCTCCAAAATTTACAAAAGATAGTGCGAAGACACTAACTTTTTCAGCAATTCCCAAATCATCTATTCCAATTTCTCAATCAGAAATCTGCGACAATGTCTGAATCAGAAGAAGAAGAAAAGGCGGATTTGCTTCACGTCAAACGTCTTAAAACTGAAAAAACAGATCGAATTAGCGCCTTGCCAGATTCTTTGATACTTCACATCCTCTCTTTCTTGCAGATGGATGAAGTTATACGAACTGGAGTTTTGACAAAAAGGTGGCACCTCTTGTGGACTTCAGCACAAACCTTAATTTTCAGTTACTCAGGACCACATGATTATGGTACATATAATAAGTTCGCTACTTTTATTGATGATACCCTACTTCGTTGCCAGCCTAGTAAATTGAACAAGTTTTCGGTCGATTTTATTTACAGCAGACGCTTTGTTCGACACGTTAATAAATGGATTGCATTCATCAAGAATAAACATGTGGAGGAACTGAATCTTCATCTAAGGTCACGAGATTTGAATGAGATTTACAATTTACCCGAGCTTATGTACTCCAATATGTGCTTACGAGACCTATATTTGCGCCATTGTAATCTTGTACCAAAAGGGGAGATTAATTGGCCTTCCCTTAGGGTTTTAGAAATTGGATATGCTGAATTGAACCAGGATTTTATCAAAAAGATTTGTTTTGGATGTCCTGCTTTGGAGTCTCTGAAGTTTAGGAGTTGTTACGGGATTGGTTGTTTTAATATTGATTCCAAAAGTGTGAAGAAGTTGGTGATCAAAGGATGTTGGGATGACGATGAGGATGATAATGAAGAAGAAAAAGAGCTGGGAATATATGCTAGGAATGTTACTTCACTGGAGATTAGCGGCCATTTTCATAAAAAGATACTTGTTCTTCAGGATGTAAAAGCTCTGGTCGATGCTAAGCTAAATGTTTATAGGAAGCCAGATGAGTACATACATAATTACGAGGGTGATTTTAAAACTGATCAGAATATGGTGAAAGATCTCCTTGTATCACTCCAGCACGTTGAGAAACTCTCCATCGGAACATGGTGTTTGCAGGTTTGAGCTATCTCTCCATACTTCATTTACTCGACAAAGTTTAAGTATTCTTTATTTGCTGAAGAGTTTATAATTCTATGCACTGAAATATTTACACAATCATGTAACTTATAAGATAATTACCGGTAAATTTCTACGATAAGAGTGACCTGATCAAAATGGTCACTAACATGTTATTACAGATTAAGCAACGCGAATAGTATAGACATTCTATACACTATCAACCGATATTGTTTAAATCCTTTGCTATTGTAGTACTACGGTTTATATGGAAAATTGAAATTTTTTTTACTGCACAATGCAAAGTGTTTGAAGTAGCATATGTTAACAAAGCAATAGCTTTATGTTAGTGTTACTACTCTTCCATTGATTCAGAAGCATTATTCTCTCTTTGTACCTTTATATTTATGTATCTCTGCAGTTATGTAGCGCCAGCTTTCAAACATATATTTTGATCTTCAAACAGCTCCTCGGTTGTTCTTACCTTAAACCTGCTTGAATAATTTGAATTTCTTTCAAATTTTACAAAGTTAAAAACTTTGAGAAAGAAAGAGAGAAAAAGGAAAACAAAAGAAAGAGGGAGACACTTTAATTGCTTTGCAACCATGGTGGTTTTGATGATTTAAAATAGGTACCAGAACGGATCCAACAGTATTTTACTAGGGTATTCTTGAGATCTTGGATTGTTTTAGCTGTAAGTTAAACCTAAAACCCAATCTTCTTATAATTAATGGCCTAGGTCCTTACGACATTGGAGATGAGAACCTTGTCATGCCCCAGGATGAGATGCAAATACTTGACCTTAAACACTCATATGAAGAAATGGGAGCTTCCTGGGATAACAATCCTTCTACAAAGCTGTCCTCAGGTTGAGACCTTGAACATAGACATGACATCCCACTTCGAAGAGGTATGCAAATTCCCCTCCTTCTACTACTTTGTTATTCTTCTTATCTTCTCGCAGGATCATTTAAACAGAGGCAAACCCAGGTTCTAGAGTTAATGAGTTCAAAATGATCAGTGTGATCTTATTATAGTTTGAGTTGAAAGCAACAAGTTCAGTCAAATCAGCCCTAATTCTGCCTCTGCCTTATATTTTAGACTGATCCTTGCTTAACCAAATAACTTTGGAACGTTATGTTGCAGTATTATTTTGGGACGTATTTTAAGAAATGTAACGACTTTAGTGGAGGAAATTACTGGATATCAAGGCCTTGTTGGGTGCTGTATCTCAAGACTTTAAGGATTTACGGCTTCTGGGGTGGGAATGAATACATCCTTTCGTTTCTGGAAGTTGTGCTAAAGAATGCGATGGTGCTTGAGAAAATCTTCATTGGCTCCTCCAAAAACGATTGGATTCCTACAGATGCGGACTACAGAAGAGTTGCAAATAAGATGTTAAGCTTTCCGAGATCATCAAAGGATGCTGTTATTCTGTTCACTGGTTGAGAATTAAACTATGTTTAGATGTTTAATTAAAAAAACATGCTTCTGAAATATTTAGATGTTTTTTCTTTAAGCTCAATGCTCGTCTAAAACATTTTTTTTTTTCTCTTGATCCAGTAGACAATTTCTCTCTGTGAATATATATCTTATTCCTTGCAAATGAGGGCTTCCCTCAGCCCTGTTGGCAGTTGATAATTTAAGGGTTCTTCGTGTATCTTAGATTAAACGGTTGAGATAGCCATCTTTTTTTTCTTTATTAGCGTTTGATATTTTTGTGTTGTAATCCTTTTATTTGTTATTTGTGGAGCAGAAGGTAGGAAACTTTTGTTCTATTATTAGTAGTTTATATGCCCTTTCCTTAGCAAATCTATTACTATGTGAAGATTTAAAGAGAATATAAAACTTGGGAAAGTATTTCATGAAACAACATGAGACAATGGATTTTACATGTTCGTAGTAATAGTAATTGAACTCCACAAACTCTTGCAACTAAATTTTGAATTCATGTGGATATTACCTGTAAATTGTAATGTAGTTTTCCAAGTAGTTGTCCATTATGAAATTCTTTATTTATCTTGTGTAAAACTCAAACTTTACATACATGCACCGCAATGGATGTCTCATAATAGTACAATATTTTACTTGAAAAAGTAAACTAAAACTTTATTAACAAGTAATGTTTTGGTAATAAATAACTATGGAGGTACTATTCTGTTTTGCATCTGCATTTGGTGCTTTCGTACTCGTTTGCACAATGGCAATATGAAGATAAAGAGTTATTTCAAGAAAGGAAATAGTAAAGAAACTTAGTAGCATTTGGTGTTTGTACCAACAAACTAGATTGATTTAACTTTAGAAAAGATCACTAGTTACAAATTTGAGCTAATAGTTAATTAGTAACAGTTAAGTGAAACTCTTTTCATGTATCAAACACTTGCTTTGTATTTATTGATTTAATGCAAACTTATAATTAAAAAAAGTAATCGGATAAAACAAAATAAGTATATGTGGATCGAGGAAGGAGTGCTATTCAATTCAAAGTGAATGAACGAGTTATAACTTAGTTATATCATACATATAAAGTAACATTTGTATCCTCCTCTCTCCCTCGCTCTTCGTGTTAATCGTTTTAGATTTTTCTCCAGTTGCGAGATTCCATAGTTGGTTAGCATATACTATATATAATGACAGAAGGAGAATTAGTGAATAAATAGTAGCTTATCTAATCGGTATGCAACCAAGTCGTTGTAGTATAGTGGTGAGTATTCCCGCCTGTCACGCGGGTGACCCGGGTTCGATCCCCGGCAACGGCGTTTACTATTTTTTTTGGCAGACTTGTTGTAACTTATAAGATAATTACCGGTATCTTTCTACGATAAGAGTAACCTGATATTCTATACACTATCAACAGATATAGTTTAAATCCTTTGCTATGGTAGTACTACCATTTATATGGAAAATTGGAAATTTTGTTACTGCACAATGCAAAGTGTTTGAAGTAGCATACGTTAACAAAGCAATAGCTTTATGTTACTGTTACTACTCTTCCATTGATTCAGAAGCATTATTCTCTATCTGTACCTTTATATTTATGGATCTCTGCAGTTATGTAGCGCCAGCTTTTAAAGAGAATATTACTATGTGAAGATTTAAAGAGAATATAAAACTTGGGAAAGTTTTTTTGTGTATCAAACCCTTGTTTTGTATTTATTGATTTTATGCAAACTTATAATTAAAAAAAGTAATCAACTCAAAAACTATAAGTATATGTGGATCAGGAAAGGACGTTATTCAAATTCAATTCGAAGTGAATGGAGCAAGTTGTAGCTTAGTTAAGTCACACATAAATTTATATTTATATCCTCCCTTCCACCTCCCTCTTCCCGTAAATCGTTTTAGTTTTTTTATCCAGTTGTGTCAAGATCCCATAGCATATAAATTAGTGTGGGCAATGACAGTTAAAGATAGACTTGATAAGTAAATAAGCAACCAAGTCGTTATATTATAGTGGTGAGTATTCCTGCCTGTCATATGAATGACCCGGGTTCGATCCAGCAACGGCTTATTTATGACCGCCTTGCGTTGTTCACAATATTTGGACATCTTAACCAAAATACGATCGCAGTGGTGAGTATTCCTGCCTTGTCACCCGGATGACCGGGTTTGATCCCCGGCAACGGCGTATTAAGTTTTATGACCGCCTTGCGTTGTTCACAATATTTGGACTTCTTAACCAAGATAAGATCGCAAGGGGGGGACCTCTTGAGTGGATCACTTTGACCATTCTGTAGCCAACATTGCCTGAGCAGATGCTACTAATCTTTCCAAACTCATATTTGTGATATCAACACCACATTGCACCACATTGTACAACTTAAGACAAGTAACAGAATATGCAGATCTGCATGTTTTCACTGATTGTGTGACAATGACAATTTTCTATGCTTGTTTCTGTACATGTATTCCCATCTTCCCCTAGTACACATAGTATATGTCATCCCTTTTCCCCTTTACCTAGTAAAAAGATTAATTTGAGGTATGAAGAATAAACAAGCGGAGCAGATGATGTGACATCTACTTTGGCAAACAGATGATTCTGGGAGCTAAATGACCAAATATACGCCTTCAAAAGAAAAGGCTGAAAGCTATAAGACACTAACTTTTTCATCTTCCACACCATATCTTTGTACCCTTCCCCCTTTCAGAGTGTCCAAGTTGCTTCATTGTTGCTTTTACCTCCCGCAATTTACTTTTGTAATCCTTCTTCCATGCTTCAAATCTAACCTTCAGCTTTTGAAGCTCATCATTAGGCCAGAGGATGGACGCCTCCTGCCCCGATTTACATTGATCATGGACAAAATTTTGAAAATGATTGACCATATTCATCACATGATGGTTATTAAGCTGGTTCTCGGAATTTGTTCCTCCATTTTGTTGTGGTCGTGTATCATGTACCTCATTGGAAAGATTCAGTTCACTCCTTTGAAGGGTCGTAGTTCTTGGGAATTCATCATCCTCGTCTTGATCTTGATCTTGATGCATCAGTAGTCTAAGTTCTCCCTTAGTTTTTTCACCGCTGTGTGTTTTCCTTTCCGCAGCCAGACTTGTCTGCAAGATTAGCAATTACAGAAATAAAAGCAAAATGATAAGTTTCTTGCTTTCTGAATCCTGAACAGATACAAGATTGGGTGAAGATAAGCAAATAAACAACATCTTTCCTTTTTCTGTTCAAGTCAATGATGTTCAATAAGCAAGTACTAGAACAGTGTTTGCTTTAACATGAAGACACAGAATGCTTACTTGTACAGACGTTAACTGATCTTGCCACATCTTCTCCATAGCTTTCATCTTTGACTCATACTGATTCCACTTTTTCTCATAATGCTGAATATGTAGCCTCAAAGCTGCATTTTCCTCTTTCTTTCTCTCCAGAGCTGCCTCTGTCCTCAGAATATGCCTCTGAAGATCAAGTAGAACTGAGCGCGGTACCTGATGGGAGTCCAAGCAACCAAAGTGGTTAAGATATGTTCTTGTTGATGTTTTTACAGCACTCAGAAACCTACTTTTTAAAAAATAAAGCACACCTTAGTTTCTTGCTCCTTCTCGTCAAGGTCATTCTTTTCTCTAATGTACCGACCACAAGTTAGCTTTCCATTACCTAAGGTATTGAACTGTTTTCGCGTCAACCAACCTCGAATAACTGCAGAATGCAGAGACAAGCTGAGGACTATCTTCAAAAACAATATATTCAAATCTTTGGATTAAGGAATTCTCAATCTTACCAGATTGTAAACGTGTGGCCGCAGTAAGTTGTCGTTCTATTCTTTTATGATGGTGCTCCTTTATGTGTTTCTGTATAATGATAATGGCCGTCAACCTCCTTCTGCGATCCTGATGATACTTTCTTGCAATTTCACCACGCACAACTGCAAGAATGAATGACTATGGTTGAGCTACAATCATTAAAATTACAAAGGAAAAATAGATACATGAAGAAGCTCTTCGCCCTTGAGGCTCAGGTAGTTTTTTAGTACTGTTCAATAATGTTGCTACTTCTTTATTGAAGCATGGAATAAGTATTATAGCATATGAATTTTTGAGAAAAATTGGATAACGTGGATTACATTGTTGTAGTGCTACTACTCCAGTTTTAAGCTGATGAAAGTACCGGCGGGCTTGGTAGCCGCGAAAGCATCTCTGAATTGCCACTACTGCATTGAGTCCAGCTCCTTCTCTCAGATCAATCATTAAACAAATCTGTGGATAAAAACACAAGAATTTCAGTAATTTTTGAAACTAGCAACAGTTGAAATTATATGAGAAATATGACTGACTCAGTTTTACCAATCCTACTATTGAATATAAATAAATTGCAATCTGAATACACTAATGCATTGTACAACCTGTCATCTAAAGACTATACACCTTAATTTATAAACAAACAAACTCATTCACTAAGCTAAGAGCTAATCACATTTGCCAAACGATGAAGATAAAATTTGCATCAGGAGAAGCCGTAAATGGTTTACTTCTTCCAATAGCCATTTGCCTGCTATAACTTAATGTAGGAAACTGGCACTCACAGAATCAGAGTACAGTTTAGTTATTTTTTAAAAATCTTATCAACATATAGGTGATGATTAATTAGAAAACCTTATGATGTAATAAGAACCAAGAACCATCTTTGCAACAGTTTGACAAAAATTAATGCAATTTCCTAATGGTCAATGAAGTGGAATAAAAATGCTAGATGATTTCTTCCTTTCTCCTAAGCCTTAATGGGCAGGTTACCTAATATTGGTGCTGCTAAGAGGTTGCAAGTACCCAATGGAACAGTCGAGGTGCATGCAAACTGGCTCAACAATTCAACAAAGTTAATCTACTTCATAATTAGGGAACAAGATTCAAGGGGCCCCTAATTTTTCCTCAAAAACAGAAAAGAGGCTTTAATTCATTTCCATTTACCTTATCTGTCATGGCTGCAGAATCTCTATCTGTTGAATCCCATTGATGAACTGGTTGATCAAGAAATACATCTTCCTTTGTTCTTGTGCTCTCAAACATACCACATTTAACCTGTGAATATCCATCTTCTTCAACTCTATTCTTTTCTTTACCAAACTCTGGCAATTTTCTTCTTCCCTTAGGCAACCTAGCCTTTGTAATTGGCCTAACAGGCAAAGGTGGTGGCAAATCATTTGTATTTTCCTCTACTTGTTGAAGTTCCTCAAGCATAAGCTCCAGTGTACTAAGACTCCCCATATTCTGATAAGTTGTCACAATCACAGAAGACATAACTTACAGTTATTCTAATTACACATAAAACACAAACAAACAAATATGTACAGCATATCCAAGAACTGGGAGTCTGAATCTTAAGGATTTGAAAAAGCTGCAGTTTGGCATACTTGAGATGCCCAAAAGCTAAGCATGTTTGATTCTATGGCAGGAATAATAAGGACTTGCATGTGTACATTGTCAGAAAGCTTTGCTTTTTTTCAGCTTTTGCTTTGTTTGAAAGAAGTCTTGAGTTTTATGTAGGTCCAGTTTTTTATCATAGCAGAGGACCATAAAATATGTAAAAATGAGAATTTTTGTAGCAATTTTTGGAAGACAAAATGGATATTTTAAACTGATTGAGGCCAGTGGACTCCTTGGGTTGCTGGATGATGAAGAAAAGGAAACAAGAATGGTTGGTATTATTTCTTCTTGGGACACCCCCCAATAGATTTTATAATTATTATTTTCCTAATTTAAAATTTTGTAAAAGCAAATATGGAATTTAATTTTGTATGTTTCTTCTGAGAATTGTCTCTTATATTTGTCGTGTTGTGAACTATAACTTAGAAGTGCTGTTTTTTTTTTGCTCACTTTAACTAACCTAAATTGACTTCAAAGTAATATTTGGCATCAACATCAAATAGCAATTAATCAAATTCTATACTAAATTTAGCTTAGGCTTTTAGTTTGAACCTCTTTTTTCTTCTTCTTTTCTATGTAATATCATACCATATACTCCCACCGTTCACATTTACTTCACACGTTTTAACTTTTTACGCCACTTAAGAAATAATAAATGAAGTGCATAATTTACTATGATACCCATATTAATTGATGCATATTTTATTGGATTTGAGAAAATAATTTGAAATGAGTAATAAATACTGTGGGTAAAATAAGAAAAAAAAATTTGTCTTCTCTTGATATGCGTAAAGTGACAAGTAAAAATAAAAATCTATTTTTAGTATACATGTCAAGTAAAAGTGGACGGAGAGAGGGAGTATGTACTTGAACAATTAAACTACTACCTCATTTGAAGTGAAGAATTAATGCAAATACCTTCAAATTAAAACCCAAAAAGTAAGGGGAAAAAAGAGAATTTCTGTAGTGGATGTCTGAATGACATATCACCGAACTACTTGAATTGGATTAGTTGAAAGCTTTAAATTTTCCAAATCAATATTACACTTTAATTTTAATTTTAATTTTCTGAAAATCTTAGCAAGATCTCAATTGGATTTAACTGTTCAACACTTGGACCAAACTATGATTATGAATAAAGAAGATCTCATTGACCTAATCTTTTTGGGACTATGTCCATCCAGTGAATTTAGTGAAGTATAATTTAGATGATTAGATCCAATGCATGGTTAAGTTGATAAAATTATTGGCATATGAAAAAACTAGTACTACTAAAGTTTTTCCATGAATTGACTATTGAGTTGCATGTATTATTATGCTGCTAATAAGAGTTTGAAGGAGAAGGTGGGGGAAATGATGAAGTGTTATGATCAATGTTGCCTCGAGCGCCTGAAATGCGTCAATAAAAATTGAACTAGTATTAATAAGTAGATAACTTTGGGACTTGGATATCATTTATTTTTAAGCCTTGGTTTCATACGACGAGACACAAAAGCCAATTGGATAAAGTGATTCATGGAAAGATGTACCCTACATATAAAATAGCTCTAAATTTGCTTAAATATTTTCATATGCCAAAAAAGAGGGATAGTTCAATGTCAATGAGTCAACTATAATTGTAGGACATGACACTGAAAATATGGGGGGGATTTTGGTCGAAAAGGGTTTAACATTTAGTAAAGAAAAAAAATGTTAGATGGTTTTTTTATTTGATTAATTTGGTGGGCGTGATTATTCGCGTACCTATAATAATATAATAGATTAATTGAGATGCGCACAAACTAACACAAATATTATCGTTATAAACACAAAATTTTGTATTCACAACCTAAAAGTATTTTTTTTAATAATTATTATATATAGAATAATAATTCCATCAAGAGTTAAGTAGTGATAATACTTTTGATTTAAGCATACCATGTCCATATTTTAGCAATTCTCCTTATTTAATCTAAATATCTGGAGACATATATAACATGAACTATACCTTTATTATTCACCATTTACTAGTACACGTACCCGTGCGATGCACGGATCATTTTAAAGGAAAAAAAATGGAGAGAAATATTAAAAACAGATGTATATTGCTACATAAATACTTGGCTTTAAACGGATTAGTCCACCTGAAAAAAAGATATTTTTGTCTCAAGTTATGATCAGAAAAAATAAAGGACAGTTAAACACATGTGTAACTCATCGATTAAGATATCACCTTCTGTTGTGATGTACTTTGGAATCAGAAGTATGTGAGAATATTAGCAAGTCAGTCATGTCGGTTGATGATATAAACGAAGACTTCAGAAACCAAGATCTCGGAAATACCCAATCCTTGTACGTAGAATCTATATAACAATTTTAAGTCTTAGATGAAATGCATACAATAAAAACATTAATTCTTATCAAGATTTTATGTCACATACCGACACAACAATGATGTTGTTGTTCCAATCGAAAACACCTTCATCATAAGCTATATGTTCCTTTACAGCTGAGGCAAAGTTTTTGTTGCACGCTTAAAGTAAGTTTTCTTACATGTAGAAACAAACGTATATTGCAGAATATTAGATAAAATAATAGGTAGAACGTTTGATACTCTTAGTGAAACAAAATAATGTGAAACGCTAACAGATTTTGCTTACAATTTATTGCCTTAATTGTTCAAGGTGAACCCACCCCCAATCATACATACAAAGTTGCATAAAGATGGCAACACCCATTACAGCCATTCCAACGACTACCAATGCTGAAAATCCACCAGGACGAACAATTATCTACATCAGAAAGATCTCAAGTCAATTTATACAACAAAGGACCTTAGCGTCGCTCATGTTGAAATTATTTTGTGAAGTGAAAAAAAGAACCTGCAAAGCCTATCGAGCATACCGCCTTGCTACACTTGATACTTGAACATTAACACGTATTGACACCTATATGCCAACGTACCCGGTAACACCAGAACATTGAGCCCCGAAAAAAAAGTAGAGCCTGTGATATAAGGTCTACTGTCTATATTTCTGTTTGTTGCGGGAAAATCATGAAGAAGAAAAATTTTTTAGGTTTGTTCATACAACATCTAATACATGAGAATTATCACATTCTTAAGAAATCAAGCAAGCAACAACGACATGCTCAAGGTTTCACCTCTAATCAATGGTTTAATACAAAAATAAATTGTATAAATTCTCGACTTCCTTGTGAATAAATCATCAATCAACTCTTGAGAGAATTAATAAAACAGTAACTCAACTCTGTCATCCTCTTCTTGTGGCTAGAACTACTATGGTAGTTCCATCCATTGTTAATCTCTCCACAGAATGAGCATCAAGTGCTAATACCATACATTGGAAAATAGTCAATAGATAGAACGTGTATAAAATAATATAACCTGCAAAAAAGAACACAATGAAAAAAAAACTCACCCAAGTACTTTTTTTATTATAAAATAAGCTTTACCCACGCCGATTTTTTTTCATCCTCGATAAATGTACTTTCTCAAAGAATAAATTTTTTTAATCTACTAAAACTAATTAAAGTATAAACAAAAGTAAATAAATAAAAAGCTTATTGCGCCATTCGTCATATTTTGTCAAAATTGTTCAAAGCTTTAAAGTACTGCACTTATCATTACAAATGAATACTATTGTACTGTCACGATCCCAATTTTCCTCCGTAGGATATCATGATGGCACCTAGTCTCTAAGACTAGGTAAGCCTAACAATTTTCGGAATAACTGAATATAAAACTAAACTCAAATCTCAATATATGAAATATAGACAAGAACTGCGATTTAAATAATTACAACTCCCAAAATCCGGTAGAAATAAGTCACAAGTTCTAAAGAGAAAATGCTAAGTGTCTCTATACTTCAACGTCTAATAAAAATAAAGGAAGCAACATCATAAGGATAGAGGGGGACTCCGAGGTCTGCGGACGCTGGCAGATATACCTTGAATTCTCCACGTACGGTCTAGCTCACTGGTACCTGGTCTAGTAAGCAGTACCTGGATCTGCACAAAAAGATGTGCAGAAGAGTAGTATGAGTACAGCACAACGGTACCCAATAAGTGCTAAGCCTAACCTTGGTAGAGTAGTGGCGAGGTCAGGTCAGGGTCCTACTGGAATAAAAGGAAATGAGGTCAAAAATATAATAATACAATGAAATGACTGAGAATTGGACAGTGAGAAATTACAGAAAGGTAACAGCACAATAAATAGAGGTAAACAACATGGGCGCTCTCGAGATACCGCCTTGTTGTCCCAAATGTAAATACACAATAGGGGGATCTCCCGAGGTACTGTCTCGTAGTCCCAAAAGTAAATATGCAATAGGGGATCTCCCGAGGTACCACCTCATAGTCCCAAAAGTAAATACGCTTTAGGAAATCTTCCGAGGTACCGCCTCGTAGTCTCAAAAGTAAATTTACAACAGGGGATCTCCCGAGGTACCACCTTATAGTCCCACAAGTAAATATGCAATAGGGAATCTCCTGAGGTACCACCTCGTAGTCCCAAAAGTAAATACGCAACAGGGGATCTCCCAAGGTACCGCCTCGTAGTCCCAAAAGTAAATATGCAACAGGGGATCTCCCGAGGTACCGCCTCGTAGTCCCAAAAGTAAATATATAACAGGGGATCTCCCGAGGTACCACGTTGTAGTCCCAAAAGTAAATATGCAACAGGGGGATCTCCCGAGGTACTGCCTCGTAGTACCAAAAGTAAATACACAACTCATAACCTATGTAACAACAAATTTACGGCAAAGAATCATACAGTTAAAGACTGAATACAAGATCGCGGAAGCAAGTAATTCAACTAAGCATGTTGCACAAATTGCAAGTAAGAGTTAAGGCACGTAGACATGTGACATTAGGCTAAACATGATGACTCCACAGACTAGAGCAACTCAGTTAAGGATTTAAAAGAAAACTACTTAGCAGGAATCCGAATTTTTACATTTAGCCCGTGTATGCACTTGTCACCTCGCGTACACGACGCTCACATATCACCAATTGTTACAACAGTACCAAAACCTAAGGAGAGTTTCCTCCACATTAGGTTACACAAGTCACTTACCTCAAATCTCACTCAATCAATCGATAAGAATGTCTTTCCCTCGACTTTCCGACTCCAAACGACCCAAATTTAGCCAAAAGTAATTACATACTATAAATACAACTACAAGGAACTAACTTAAATAATGAAACTATGACATTAGCAAAGAATTGAAAAATCGCCCCAAAAGGTCGACCCGGGCCCACGT